TAACGGACTACTTGGGGGGACGGGGTGTCCGTTAAAGCCGAAAGTCCGTTATATAAAAATATGTTGTCCGTTATACAAAAAAATAAATCAAAAAACTTTTTTTTAAATATGTATGTACACTGTATTTAGATACATATAAAAAATACAAAATACAAACAAAATTCTATTTAATTGTCTTCGGACGTTCGTCGTGAAGTGACGTTGCTGTTGATTTCGATGCGCTTTTGGTTGATAATCCTGTTTTGAAAAAGGAATCAAGTTTCGTTTGCACTTTCGATGTTTGCTCTTTTTTTATAATCAACTCTCTAAAATTACGAAAATGCGTAAAATACAGTTGAACTTTGTTATCTGATGAATAATCAATAAATGTTTCGAGATCGGCGAGATGCGATCTTACTTCTGATAATTTCATTTTTGACAGTGTTGTTTTGTCGTTTTTTTTTGCTATCTTTACTTCCATTCTCCATCCGTTCCGAGGCTGTAGATTTGGCTTTTTAACATTTGTACATTTTTCTGAGTATTGAGGAGTTAGCCCAATGCCTCAACCCCCAACCTGGAGGACCGGGTGATTTGTCGTCAAGGTTTTCTTCCTCTAGCCTTTGATGGTTCAGCATCTAACTACAAGACAGCAGCTTCGCCTGTACCCTAGGCAGGGGCCCTTACAGGGTGCTATCATCCGGGCCAGATGAACCCTGGTTTTTTTTTCGAGGTTGTTACTCCTCCCCCTTCCTCCTTTATCCGGGCTTGGGACCGGCAACATGGCAGCTAAACTACTCAATTCGCCCAGCCGTCATGCAGGCGGAGTTCAACTCAAATCTCATAACAGCAGTGGAAAAACTATATGAGAACGCCAACGCCAAAGTTAAAATAGGAACGAATGTTTCCAAAGGTTTTGTAGTAGACAAAGGACTGAAGCAGGGATGCTGCTTAGCGCCGACACTTTTCAAAATATATCTGGAACAAGCATTAAAACTCTGGAAGCGGAAATGCAGCGGCATGGGTATACAATTAAACAATAACAACCTGTACACTCTATGTTTTGCTGATGATCAAATTGTGATTGCTAACGAATATGACGACCTAGAATACATGACTCTAAAATTAATCGAAGAATACAAAAAATGGGGATTATAAGTCAACATAGATAAAACAATGTACATGAACATCGGTGGTAAAGAACAAAATCTAGTTTTAAAACGACGGACAACACATTAAGTACAACAATAAATATTCCTATTTAGGAGTAGAAATCACAGACGACGGCAAATCAGATCAGGCTATAAAAAAACGAAACACTCAGGGTAGAAGGGCCATATCTCAACTAAATAGTATTATCTGGGATCAACATATATCCAAAAAAAATAAACATCGAATATACAACACTATTATAAAGAGCATAGTAATGTATAGAAGTGACGTGTGGCAGTTAAAGGCAACTACTGAAAGAACACTACAAGCCACGGAGATGGACTACTGGAGACGGGCCGCAGGAAAATCAAAACTCGAAAGAATTAATAACGAACGTATACGAGAGGTTATGGGAGTCACACATACGATTGTCGAAGATATAAGAGTACAACAACTAAAGTGGTATGGACATGTGCAGAGAATGCCAGAACATCGTCTGCCCAAACAGATTATAGATTGGTCACCACATGGAAAGAGAAAAAGAGGCCGACCCAGAAAGAGCTGGAGAGAAGGAATAGACAGAGAGATCCGAGAGAGAGGTTTAGACGAAGATCTTTGGGAAGATAAAGATGCATGGAGATTGGGCATCGGAAGACGTCGGAGGACGTTTTAAACCGATTATATATATATATATATATATATATATATATATATATATATATATATATATATATATATATATATATATATACTTCCATTCTCATTTTTTGGGTAAATACCGTCATCTCCTGCTATTTCACTTTCAATCATGATGTTATACCCGGCCTTCATGTCACCTTCATCTACTTCTAGCCATTGTAAAACATCTTCCTCACCTACATGTTCCCCGGCCCACGGCATTATTATGTATTGTCCACAGAAATCAGTAACTTCCAGACCTTAATCTATGTCTGCATCTTGGTCATCAAACAAATTCTTCCTATCATTTTTTAATTTTGCTCTTTCACTTTCTCCCATGCTGCAGCAAAATTAAAAATAGTTGATTTTAAATTGTAAGACCTTAAGTTTTGCAAGGTACGCTACCCTCTTGTATCTTCTGCATTGTCTCCATCGTGCAATACAACCAGTCCTTCGTCTAAAAATGTCTGCGATATATTTGTTTGGTTGTCAAAATTTTACCCTGATCCATGGGTTGAATATGCGATGTAATTTTTTTGTCAAAAATGAGGTGAACCATGCCTTCTTGGAGCTATAATATGAAACGGGCGGATGATATTATATCTCTTAATACTCTAGGTTTACGAGATTTGCCAAGCATTACAGAAGTCAATCTATGCCATCCATCGGCGTTAGCACAAAGCAGTGCCGATACCCTGTCTTTGCTGATTTTTCTTCTAGAATTGGATTTTTCATATTTGGAGGCTTGTGTGCTTTTAGGTAAAGTACGCCATAACAAACCAGTTTCGTCAGCATTATAAATCTGAAATTATAATAGCATTTCGTTACTGATATGTTCCATTAATTTTTACCTAACAGGTTCTATTTCTTCTTTTGGTGCACTTGAAACTTCGCCGTAGATTCTTTTATTCATGATTCAGTGTCTTCTGCGAAAGCGCGAGAGCCATCCATCACTTGCTCTGAATGGTATGTCCATATGATTTGTTAATTTAATCGCAGCAGATTTCAATTCGACTGCTCAGACCAGCACCCCACTGGAACGTTGTTGGCCGTACCATTTTAAGATTGCTTCTTCCAGTAAAGTTTTACAAGTCAATCTCATTCATTTTCTGAGATTTCTGTTTCCAATTTCATTCGTTTTGTGAGATTGCTGTTCTCTCCTTCATCACACATTCATGCAAATTGATTTATTTTGCTGTTGTTTTTTTTATGTCCGAAACAGTTTGCTTTTTTATGCCATATTGATCACATATATGAGACAGAGACGTTCCAGACACAGACTCCAACTTTTGTAGAGTCTCTAGTTTTTGATTGATCGTTAGATTGATTCTTTTCCGTTTGTCCATATTTAAAGGGTATGATTGCAAAAATATTAACTTATTTACTGGCGTACACTAAATGATATGACTTTCATGCCAGTGTTTCGGTATTTCTTCTCTTTCTCAGACTTCTCTTATAAGATGGTATATCTCAAGATGTAGCTTTTCTCCCCCTTTTTTTAGTAGTTCCGCCTGTATGCCGTCTGGTCCTGGGGCTTTATAATTTTTTAGGGACGAAATTGCGGACTTTACTTCAGCTAGTGTGGGCTCTACTATTTCAGGTTCGGCTAACTGGTATTGTTTGTGTTGCCCCGTTGTTGTGGGAGTTTCTGTATTTAAAAGTTGTTTAAAATACTTTCTCCATTGACGGCTTATCTCCTCGTCGTCGGTAAGTAATTGTCCTGTATCATCTTTTATAAATCTTGGCTGTTGGTCGTGTTGCCCTTCATTGTTTTTAGGTCCCTATAAAACTGTCTAGACTGCCCGGTTCTATGTTCCTCCTCGAGTTGCTGTATTCAAGAAAGAATTATATTATAATAATTATATATATATATATATATATATATATACAAACAACACAGTTTATTAGGGTTGCAGTCAGAATATTGGCCGGGATGTTAAAAAAAACACTCTTGACTTTTTGTCGAGCTTTCGGAATGGTTTTATTCGTTTTTCAAGACACTGTTAAATACAATTATGTAAATATTTAAACAATATCACGATTCTTCGGTGTAACTTACTAGTCGTTGAGATTATTTTTGTAAGCATTGAACACTCAACATTTATACCACACATTAAAATATACAATTAAGGACATACTACATCATAAAATTTTTAAAATTTGTTGTAAAAATAGTAAAACTTGATTGATGGCGTGTTTTACTGGTGTATATTAACTCATACAGAGAATGGAAAGAAAAAACAGTGTAATTAATATGTAATTAGGTGTAAATTGATGTTATCTTTCTTTACAAGAAATACTAGAGGCCCTTCTTAGGTGACTATACTTTTTAAACCTGTCTTAATGGTATGCAACATATTATACAGAGGTGTAATTTTTGTACAGGTAAATATTTATTTTATTTTTGGTGTTTTTCTAGTAAATAACAATAAATGTTACTTAATTTGTCTACGGACTTTTTGTTGATGCAATATGTGCTAGATTTTATGAAACACATTTCCAAAAAAACACGTTTTAAATGGTTCTTTTCTTTTGCCAAAATACAGGAATCATCGAAATTGAATTCATGTTTTAGAGTTAGTGCATGTTCTGTCAATGCACATGCATTGATTTTTTTGGTTTTTATATCACTGCGATGTGATATCACCCTGCTGTGAAAATTACGAGATGATTCTCCTATGTAAATTTTATTACAGTTACTACACGGTATAGAATAACAACATTCGATGACTCCTGTATTGTGAAGGATCTTTTGTTTTTGTGTAAAGCTTCGATACTGTTTTCACATTTTTGGTTGTAATTTTTAAGCCACTAACATAACAACTAAAAAATTACAACCACTACACTACACTACAATTAAAATTACTACACTAAACAAACAAACAAACAAAAAATCAAATTATGACCATAAATTATTGTTAAAAAAAACGCAAGGTAAAAATACGAGTACTTTTTCAACTATTCGTCATCTAGTAACCCCACATATGTCTTAAAGGCTTCAGATTTAGAAACCAATAATTTTTGCATAAGCAGACTGGGCTATTTCAGATCTACAACTTTTACGGCATTGTGTAATTTTGTTCAATATTTCGAGAAAAATTGAATTTATCAGGTATTAAAATATAAATGAATGACGTACTGCCGACATCATAACAATTACACGTGTTACTGACATACTTTCTTTATATTTTCAGTTGGTTCGAGATGGTCATGAAAGGGCAGATCCTTCTCAATTTGAGCTCCTCAAAGTTCTGGGTGAAGGATCCTTCGGGAAAGTATTTCTGGCACGTAAAGTAGTTGGTGCTGATGCTGGAACTTTATACGCTATGAAGGTAAATAATTTTCAGCTTAAAAAGCTATTTTTTAAAATTTAGTAACTGAAAATATTGAATTGGAGTTTACTTGATATTATACAAACACTCTAGGGATAAATAAATAAATTCTTTATATTCTGCTCAATATATTTTTACATCAGTAGATAAGGTTATGCGAGATATATTTTACTGGAGTTAAATTAATTTATATACAGTAAAATAACGAGAACTAAAATGGCAGACTAATTATCTCGGTATAAGCCGATTTCGTTATATCAGACAACAATAATGTGCATACATATGAATATGTAGTTTTCTAAAACATTAACTTCCCATAGTGAAGCCATTCGAAGCAATATAAGATGCTAAATATTGTTTGAACGGCGTTTTTGAAAAAAAGTTGTTTGATACAATGAAATACATTAAAAAAAGGTTTGTTTACTTTTATTGTCAATGATATCATCATCATCATCAACTAGCCTCTAACGTCCACTGCTGAACATAGGCCTCTCGCATGCTTTTCCACTTAGTCCGATTTTGCGCCATATGAATCCAATTTGTAGTTACTCTTTTTATGTCATCTGTCCATCTCGTTGGGGGTCGACCTCTACTTCTGTTAGCTTGTATTCGGGGTCTCCATCACCGGTCATCAACTGATCTTGCTACATAACCTGTCCAGTTTCAATTTAGTGTTGTTATCCTTTCAATAACGTCTGCTACTCCTGATCTTTTGCGTATAGTAGCATTGGGGATTCTATCACGTAAAGAAATCGCTAAAATTATTCTCCTCTCCATTGTCCTTTCCGCAACTTGTAGTTTATTCACTCTTGTTCTGTGAGTCTTAGAGTTTCTGCGCCGTAGGTCATCACTGGCAAAATACACTGATTAAATACTTTTCTTTTCAGACACATTGGAATCTTAGACTTAAAAATATCCTTCATCTTTCCAAATGCAGCCCAATCGAGGTTTATTTGTGCCTGATCAAAGCTGTCTGCAATAAGAACGATATCATTTTCAAATTAAAGGTTATTTAAAAATTTTCCATCTACATTGATGCTCTTTTCGTTCCAATCTATTGTTTTTCAAGTGTATTCTAGCAAAGTTGTAAATAATTTAGGAGACATGTTGTCTCCTTGCCGAACGCCTCTTTCAATACGAAAGGTCCCAGTATCTTCATTAAGTCTTACACAGGTTGTAACATGCTGATAGATTTATCTGGTAATCTATTCTACATTGTGCTAGAGCTTGCAGCATTTCACTTTGATTCAACCTATTAGTTATTATCTTCATAAACAACTTATAAACGTGAGATAACAAGTTAATGCGTCTATAGTTCTTTAGCTCTGTTATATCTCCCTTTTTGTGCATACTACTATAACATCTTCATTCCACTGAGATGGTGTAACCTCTTTTGAAAGGCATAAGTTATATAATTGTGTCAATGCTTTCAATACTGTTTTTCCTCCTGCTTTAACTGCCTTAATAACGATTTGGTCATCACCAGCTGCTTTATTGCTTTTTATTCGATTTAATGACTTTGAGACTTCTTCGATTGTTATTTCTGGGATATCCTCTGAACCCACATTCTGGACTTTTCTCAACTTGGTGCCGTCTTTCTTACCCCTTTCTCGATATATTTATGTGTAAAATTCTTCAACTACCTTAATTATCTTATCTTTATCTGTTACCACTTTTCCATTTCGATCTGCGAGCTTAACAATATTCTTCTTACCTAAGCTTGACATCTCTTTAGCAGCTTTAAACTTTTCGACAAACTTGACAAACCTCTACAACCGGTGTAATATTTTTTGTGTTATATTGTCGTACGTCCTTTCTCACTGCTTTATTAATATCTTTATTAAGTTGTTGTAGTACGCGTGCATTCGTATCGTTTTTGTTCTTAAGTTCTCTTTTTGTCTCTTGACTGATTTTTTCCTCCTTATCTCTCCTAGGATTTGTATTGCACTTTTTCTCTGCGTTTTTAATACCTTTTATTAAGTTATCAGTTAAGGTTTCGACATCCATAACAGGATGTCGAAATACCAATACCAGCGGGAAATCCATAACGGGATGTCGAAATACCAATACCAGCGGGAAATCGTTGACTGCTGTGGTGCTTCATTCCCAAAAACAGAAACCATTGCTGTTGGAATAATCTTCTACGAAAATTGTAAAAAATTATTGTTCGAAAATGTTCTCGGCTAAGATCCATTTTTCGACCGACTTGGTAATTTCAAAAGTTTCCTGTATCTACTCGACTTTATCGCAATGAAAGCCTTGATTTATTTCAACAAAAGATTGAGGTTCCATTTGTGTCTTTACTAAAAAATATGGTATTATACACATCGTTATTCAAAACAATAATATCCTCTGTAGCAATGTCACATCCGATTAAACAAAAGTTTAATGTGAAAAAATAACAAAATTTGTTTCAATAAACACATGTAATTTAATTACCCTTTTCATCGGGAAAATGTGAGGTTATAACAGATTTTTCATATGTTTCGTTGCACTGGGCTTGTGCTAGTGAAGTTTTTTATATTTTTTGGCCTCTCGATGTCATCATGTTGTCCATATATACTTATTAAATATTAAAATAGCGCCTTTATCCCGTTTTTTCTGTTAATTGATCGAACAAAATAATGTGACTTATTTTATTGATAATTTTTCGACTGTTCTAACAACCATTCAAATTTCGTCATTTTGTGTCATGTGGAAGAATTTCACCCAATAATGTCAACATTAGACTGATAATTGCATTCAGTGCAATTTTCAATCCCTATGACAACACGATCGAGTTTGAAAACTTCATCCAAATAAATTTCAAAATGTCACGTTTCGGCAATGAGAATGTTCAAAGTATAAATCAGAATTCTATAAAACCATACTTGAATCTCGATCAAGAACACCACAACAAGATTATAAATATTATGCGTGGTAATAGATCTTCTATAATAGAGAACAGCAACGAAACTAATGTTAACTTAAATTTTAATAATTATACTTTCACTAACTGTACTTTTAATAAATAAATGTTGAGTTATGATTTTTTTTTCGAAAAATTATCCGCCGAATATCCCTCGGACATTGATGAATGCCTCATAATTTCATGACAAATTTCTCAAGCTCGTTGCTTGGTAACAGCACTCAGCCTTCGACTTCGTGCTGTTACCAAGGAACGAGCTTTCGATTGTCATGAAATTATCTCGTCTGTTATCAATGTCCTAGGGATATTACTACTGATAATATGATCACAACTGATGTACACTAAAACAACACAATTTTAAATCCAGTTAACTAACCTCATATCTGTACTTAATACCTACTTATTGGATATCATTCAGGGCCAAACAGTATCAAAAACCATTAATACTGTTTGGTTCGATTTAATAGAGGACTTACATAATATACAGCTAGCTCGTAAACGAAAAGATATTTGACATAATACGCATCACCATTGGAGCGGGAAAAAATACAACACGATCAGTAATAATCTAAAAATATGAAAAAAGTGGATTTAATACTGTTTGGCTGTGATATCCAGATATATAATTTTAATATGAAATATTTTTATTTAAAGGTATTAAAAAAAGCTACTCTCAAAATTCGAGATCGCCACAGAACAAAGATGGAACGAAATATACTGGTGGACGTAGAACATCCGTTCATAGTCAAATTACATTACGCTTTTCAGACTGAAGGAAAACTTTATTTGGTTTTAGACTTCTTAAGAGGAGGGGATTTATTTTCTAGATTAAGTAAAGAGGTGAGTTTTTATTGTATATTTTTTTATAAAAGAAACTTTCTTATTTCTGAATAAAAAAACTTTTTGTAGGTTATGTTTACTGAAGATGATGTAAAATTCTACTTGGCTGAATTAGCTTTAGCTTTAAACCATTTACACTCACTTGGAATTATTTATAGAGATCTCAAACCAGAAAATGTGTTATTAGATTCAGATGGCCATATAGCACTAACGGATTTTGGACTTTCCAAGTTACCTTTAGGGGAAGGAAAAGCGTACAGTTTCTGTGGGACGGTAAGTACAAGTTAATGTTAATGTATAAAAGTGGAAATATCTTCTTTTTTAAGTAGTCCTACTTAGACCGTATCACTTCTTAGATATAAGGTCATAAGTCTGGGTTATAGGCATTTTTTCAAATCTATTAACGGAAAACGGTTGTCTTGGGTCTTGTATCAATGCGAGGTTATTTTATTCTACCCACTGTTGTACTAGCTCACCATTCGAATGTATATTATTCTATCCGCATTGTATATATAATGTCGCCCAAAGTATATTTTGTTTTTGGGCCCAAAAATTATCTTGCGGAACTAATTTGAAAAGCACTCCGGGTGTTTTACTCGTATACAGATCACGACATTGTTTTATTGACCATACAACACAATGGCAATCGCTGTGACATGTTCCACGTTTTTACCTCTATATTCTGCCTCTATGGATATTGAAGAAACTCAATTTGGATTCCGTAATGGCGTAGTTACCCGTGAATCTCTCTTTGCATTCAACGTACTAATCCAGAGATGCTTGGATGTGAACCAAGATATGTACGTCTGTTTCATAGACTACAACAAAGCTTTCGACAAAGTCCGTCACAAAAAGCTAATGGACATCCTCAAAGCAAAACAAATACAACACAATGACCTTCGAATTATAACAAATCTATATTATAAACAGCAGGCACATATACACATTAATGAACACACATCAAAAAAATTCGAAGTTAAAAGAGGAGTGCGACAGAGGTGTGTATTGTCACCACTCCTATTTAATGCATACTCTGAAGAAATTATGAAAAGAGCTCTTGAGGGAGAAACAGCAGGAATCAAGGTCAATGGAACAACAATTAACAACATTAGATATGCGGACGATACTATCATAATAGCAGACAACCTACAAGACCTCCAAAAGCTAATGAACAAGATAGTTGAGTATGGAGAAGAATATGGATTATCAATAAACACCAAGAAAACCAAATTTATGAGGATATCAAAAACAATGGTGAAAGCCTGACAATGAACGGTAGTGCTTTAGAACAAGTTGAAAACTACCACCATCTTGGCACAATAATTAATCACACAAACGATTACTCCAAAGAAATCAAAGTTCGAATAGAGAAAGCACGTACAAACTTCAATAAAATGAGAAAAAAAAATTTTGTTAAAATCCTTTATAAAAAGGTATATAAAAATGCCTCAAACGAGCTATCACAAACACATTGCAAAACGTTTTCGGATTAAACAATCCATCATCAGTGCAAACCTGAAAGTATATAACCACTTTAATTAAAAAGAACGTTAAATGAAAATGTTGACAAAGGTTAGAGCAAAATGTGGTTAATACTTACGGTTGTACATGCTAGTAGCCACCAAAATATATGGGTAAAAACCCTTTAAATGTTATAAATTTGAATTTGTTTTACATTATTAGTATTTCTAATTTGTGATGGTTAATTAGAAATACTAATAATGTAAAACAAATTCAAATTTATAACATTTAAAGGGTTTTTACCCATATATTTTGGTGGCTACTAGCATGTACAACCGTAAGTATTAACCACATTTTGCTCTAACCTTTGTCAACATTTTCATTTAACGTTCTTTTTAATTAAAGTGGTTATATACTTTCAGGTTTGCACTGATGATGGATTGTTTAATCCGAAAACGTTTTGCAATGTGTTTGTGATAGCCCGTTTGAGGCATTTTTATATACCTTTTTATAAAGGATTTTAACAAAATTTTTTTGTGATATATGGTATACAGCCAGCTACAGGAACTTAGTTTCCTCGTGGAAAATGAGAAAGGTACTTTGTGCAAGAGAACTAAAATTGGACTTGAGAGTTAGGCTGGCAAGGTGTTATATTTTCTCGACTCTGCTTTATGGGATGGAAGCATGGACACTTAACGCGTCGACTGCTAAAAAGTTGAAAGCATTTGAAATGTGGGTGTATAGAAGAATCCTGAAGATATCATGGACCGAGCATGTAACAAACAATGAAGTCATGAGAAGAATCAACAAAAGAATGGAAGTATTGGAAACCATCAAGACACGAAAGCTGCAATACTTGGGGCATGTTATGCGTAATGAGAGATACGACCTACTTCAATTGATAATACAAGGGAAGATCCAGGGCAAGAGGAGTGTAGGAAGAAGAAGAATCTCATGGTTGCGTAACTTGAGGGAGTGGTACGGATGCACATCAGTTGAACTATTCAGAGCAGCAGCATCTAAGATCAGAATAGCCATGATTATTGCCAACCTCCGTCGCGGAGATGGCACGTGAAGAAGAAGACCTCTATATTCATTTCACAGTAGGTACGAATTGTCGTAATTGTCACATTGACATTAAACATTTCAAACGAAGTTCTGAAAGAATAAACAAATAATTGATACGAATACGCGAAGTAATTGATTTATTTATTGTTGCCTTCGAAAATAGACCCCCACCAAGTGTTACAACAGTTAAAAATATCATTAAACATTTTTAAACTTCGGGATGTGTAAACAGTTGTAAAAAGTGTCACGAAGATAATGTACCACGTGCTAGACTTCTCGATGAGGAGCGTCAAAACAGGGATATTGTTATTTGTGCTTTTGTGGAAGTTAGTGAACCCTACAATACTGTACAAATTGCTAGGGAAGTTAACGTGAATGCTCGAACTGTCCATCGAGTTCTCAAAAGGAATCGGTATCACTGTTTTAAGATACAACCAATACAAGAACTGTTTCCGGAAGAGAACTTAAGGCGGATGGAGTTTTGTGAATTTATGTTAGATAAACGGAATGGAAATGTACACTTAAAAAAAATATTTTCTGACGAATCTTCATTTTCATTACATAAAAAACACAATGCATCCGTTGCAAGGAATGATTTTCGGAAAAATAAGCACCTCAGTGTTGCAGTGCGTACGTTAAAGTTAAATGTTTTACTGGGATGTTAGGCGACCATATTGTCTGTTGATTTTTTATCGATTGAAACCTAAAGGGGCCCATATATTTACAACTTTTACAGAATGAGGCTAGGTCATGTGACTTAGCGCCTAACGATTTCTTTTTTTGGGGTTTTCTCAAAGAAAAAATTTACCATCAGCTTTAAAGGGCCACAAATCTAGTCGAATTAAGGGCAAACATACCTAATTTCTCTATAAGCATTTCACCAGCTCTACTCAAAATATGAGGAGAAATCTGTATGACAGATTTGGTTACTGTTTAGCACAAGGAGGTGGAATATTTGAGCCCTCAATTCATTAATCTGCTTTCCTAATTTTTATTTTTTGTTAGGTACATTTTACGAAGTTTGTAGGTTCTTAATTAGGTAATATTTTTTATGTTTAAGTTTGGAAGAATTTTATTATTTTTTTATTTAAAAGTACAAACGATTCTTACTCTGATTTTTTTTCCTCTTTCTTGTCTTATTCTTATAAGCTTTGTTCATAAAATTTGTACAATTTTCAGTCACAATAAAGCATATTACTTATTTACTTATTTATTTGTATTGCTATTAAGGCTAAAAAATATCCAAAAAAATAGTTTTAGAGCATCATAATAAATATACTCTAAAGATGGGATTGCAATAAATCTTAATTCCTATGGTTCAACAAAACAATGTCGTTATCTGTATATGGACATGATCGTGTATTCCCCTAGTTCCGCTGTTAAACTCACAAAAAGATCTCAGAAGAAGTCCAAAAATAAAAGAGAAAACATATCTTAGTCCTATTAAAAGAAGAAGAAAATAAGGTATTATGCCTAGGAGGCATGAATGTATGAGATGTAAAGTGAAGTCGTTTTACCCTGTCGTATTTCGGATTAACGACCGAAAAATAATTTATGACTCTAGTTACAGCCACTCTGTTATGCTTTCCCTTTTCTACCTGCTTTGTGGTACCGAACCTCCTACTGGTCGGTTGTGGTACTTGAGGATAAATCAGCGCTGCCAAAACAATTTTTTTATAAATCGTGAAAAAACGTAAATTGAATGCTTTGTGATGATAATTTATTAAAAAAACTTTTATAATTTTATTTCCAATAAAATTGTTTCGAGGAGTTCATCCATTCCTTGCGGTCGCATAACTGGATAATTTTAGTTGTTATATTTGCAAAAATAGTAAACAGTCTGCGGAGTCGAGGCTCTCCATTGACCGAACTCATCGGCCAATGACCGACGCGCCCTGCTACCGAGGCCCCGCCCCCTCGTGTATATTTTCAGAGAGCACCGAAAAATCTCGATAGTATTCAACGATCGCTGGTTTTCAATAATGACAATGGATAACGTACAAGAAAACGATAGAACACCTAAATATAAGTTTTTATCTCCGGGTCGAATTGTGTTGAAAGTGGAAAATTATTTTACTTTAGAAAAAATCAACATGGGACCAATTACATCAGTACTGGCAGTTCAAAAAAGGACAAGTGCAGCCTGTGGAATTTCAGAACGGACCTTGCAAAGAGTTCGCAAAATGAGTGAGGAGGAATTAAGTAAGGAAAATAAAAAGATTGGTTTGCATCCGAAAACCCTCGACTTTCCTCAAGGTATTAAAATCTCTATCAGAAATATCATTTATGACATGTACAAAGCAAAAGAACATGTTACAAGAAAGACACTTATTCAAAAAATAAAGGACAGAGAACTTTGTGATATGGGTTTGACCAGTTTATCAAAAGTATTAAAAGCTATGGGTTTTAGATACAAAAAAACCAATAATCGTAAAGTGTTGTGCGAGCTGTCCAATGTTGTTGGAAAAAGGTGGACATTTATAAAAAAAAACTATTTAAAAAACAAGAATTCCGAATTTGCCAGACAATTTGTGTTTCTTGACGAAACATGGATTTTTGCAAAAGGAAATAATACCAAATCATCCTGGCAAGATGATTCTACCAAATGCTATTCGAGTACTAGTGCGAGTAATGGCAAAAGATATATTGCATGCAGGAAATACGGAAGGTTTTATACCCAATGCTAGTCTTATATTTTCTTCGACAAAAAAAAAGTGGGAAGGTGTGTGTGGGAAGTAGGAATAAATCTTTGTTTTATATAGATATATTTATTTTTATAGATATATTTATAAAATATATAAAAATAAAAATATAATACAAAATTTTGAACATCCTATATTAACATTGGCAAATTTTTTTATGCTTTAATAAAAATAGAGTTTAGAATTTTTGTTTTTTCAGCATAAATATTAACCACAATATTAATTTTTGAAGTTGCATGTGTAATATGAAAAATTTTTCAAAAACTTTAAAATATCTCAAAAACGGCTATTTTTTCGAGAATGGTATCCCAATAAAAATCGATCCAGAATTTTACGTAGATTCTAAAAAAAAAATAACAAAAAGCACAGTTTCTATTTAAAATAAGAAACTTAATGGCGACTTCCGGTACAACCGGAAATGCTAAAAGAATGCAAATATTTAAAAAATGAAGAAAGAAGAAGAATATTATAATGTAAATTTATCAATTTACATTATAATATTCAATTATTATAAAACATAATTCAAAGTTATTTTATTAAAAAAATCCCTAATGCGGTATTATCAAATTAAGAAAACCGTACCATTTTTAATTTGAGGACCACTGACTACCTGAGTCAAATCTGAACAGACACTTTTATTACTTATGCGACAGGTTAAAACGATCCTACTATAGTTGGATCTCGTCTGCAGTTCTAGAGCCGAAAACAGATTCGGAGCGGAGAAAGAAAGGAAGGATTCTTAGCCAAGATTCCTACGTACTAGAGTAGTCAAGCTGCGCAACGCCATCTACTTCGGAAGACAGAAAATATATATCACTGTGTAACTACGTAGCCACCGCTAATATTTGAAAAAACATATTTATCTTCAAGAAACATTTTAGTCTTTGTTTCGTTTTTCTTCGTATTCTTATCATATTACTAGGGATTTACAATCTGGCACTGTTGAATGGATGTTGGGAGAGTCACCTCTTGTGTCCCTTCTTTTGTCAGTCGTTAATTCCAAAAGATTTCCATTCATCGACATAAAAATTTAAAACCAATTTTGATTCTTATAGAGATTTTTACGACGATTCGTGCAGCCAAAACTTTAATAGATAAACACGTAATGTATTTACTCATTATTAATAGTTATGTGGGGGATAATTACAAAGAATTAAGTTGTCACTTCCGATTCCGAGAAAATTAGAAAAACACGTTTAACCATGAACTATGATAGCTAAATATTGTGTATTTTAAATCATTTTACGTCAAGTGAGTTGTTAGGAAGATGCGTATGAAGCCAATTATGCTCTGTATTCCTTTTTTTGTTTCTATTTTTGTATAAAACTAAACTTTAAAAAATAAAATTATACCTTGAGTAATCTTGATAACTGATTGATCATCTACGTGAAAAGGAAACACAGAAAAAATAATATGTAATATTTTACGTCAGGTTATGAAAATTATTCTTATTAAGTATGTAGCACCAATTTGAACTTTTTGTTTTGATAAAAAATGTGAAAACACGACGAGGAGCATGCTGTGGATCAGACCATCTTCTACTTCAAACCAAATTTAGATGCAGAGTTAACAAAGAAAGAAACGAAGGACAACAAAGAACAACAAACTGGACCTGGAAAAACTGAAGATTCAGGAATGTAAAGAGAAGTTCGAAGAAGAAGTCGCAAATGGGTTAAGGACACTAGAACTGCACAAATGGAATAATATCAAAACAGCAGTACTTACAGCGGCAGCCTCTTCCTGGGAACAAGAAAAAGGGGAGAACATGAGCATGGTTTGATGACGAGTGCAGACAACCAATAGAGGAATGAAACGAAGCACATAAAATGTAAATAACAAGAAGAACACGGGAAAGACCAACATCATTTGAAGTCGCAAGACGGAAAGCAGACAAGATATGTAGAAAAAAGATTCTATGAAAATGTAAAAATAGAAAAAATGGAAGAAAATTTCAAAAACAACGAAATTAAAGGGGGGTAAGGAATACCTAAAATAGATAAAAAGTGGGTATAAACCTCAAACAAGTCTATGTAAAGATGAAAGTGGGCAAATAATCAGTGTCCAACAGAAAGTCACAGAAACCTGGAAACATTATTTTTAGGAATGAAGTAGAAGCTCCAACCATAGAGGAAGTTCTCAAAGCTATTGAGGCCCAGAAAAACAATAAATCCGCGGAACTTGACGAAATACCAGCAGAATTGTATAAGATAGGTGGCAACCACCTAGCAAGTCACATACACACGCTCGTAAAAGATATGGCAAGAAGAGAAACTACCCGACGACTGGAAGAAAAGTATAATATGCCCGATCTAAAAAAAAGCAGACAAACTCCAGTGCAAAAACTGCCGTGGAATTTCTCTACTATGTATAGCATATAAAGTCCTCACGTATATTATAAACCAGCGGCTCCAACCACTAGCAGAAAATATTATCAGAAAATATAGCAGAAAGAGTATCAGACGAGTTTCCGACGGGAAAGATCGACACTGGATCTAATATTTACAGTTAAATAGATCTTGAGTAAATCATGGGTACACGACATTGATGTTCACAACGTGTTTGTTGATTTCAACCACACATTGTTAATACCACACAAGCCAATTACTCATTAAAGCCACAATGGATGAAACTCAGGCATGTGTACGAATACAAAACCACTGGACTTTTTCAAAATTTGGCAGAGCTTAAAGCAGGGAGATGGGCTGGCCCTCACTTTGTTTAACCTGGCATTGGAGTATGCGGTTAGGCAAAACCTACTAACCATCCGAACGGTTCAACTGGCCCCTTATGCCGATGTTATTAATATTATGAGTAGAATATCAACAGGAGCACAGGAAACATACGCAGAGTTAAAAACGCAAACAAAAATCCTAGGTCTGGAAATTAACACAGAAAAAACAAAAATAATGATACAGACGAAAAGAAATACTGTCCCACAAAACATTATACATGAAGATGACATTGAAACGGTTGGAAAGTTTACATACATGGGAGTAGAAATATATGCCGACGGATCAGAAGATGTAGAAATACGGAAGAGAATAACGCAGGCAAACAGAGCTTATTTTGCTCTCTCCCATATATTTCGGTATAAAAATGTCTACCGAAATACAAAGATGAGAATTTATAAAACCCTAATTCGACCACTAGCATGTTACGGCAGTGAAGAAACTGAAAGGTCCTGAACGAAATATACAAAAGCAAACTTGATACATTCGAAAGGAAAGTACTGAGAAGAATACTATGACCTGTGAGGGAAAACGGAATCTTCCGAAGCCAATATCAGAACGAGCTTTAGGAAGGAAGCACCACTGTCAGGCTTCATTAGAATACAAAGATTGCAATGGGCCCGACGTGTGATGAGATTGGGAGAGGGTAGGCTACCAAAAAGAGCACTGAATGCTAGAATTCAGAAAAAGAGACCTGTTGGAAAGCCAAGAAGGCGCTAGGAAGACACAGTAAACAACGACGCACAAGCCCTTTTAAGAGCCCGTGTATGGAGAGGATCAGCCACAGACAAGCAAGAGTGGAGGCAAAAAAATAAAGGACGCCAAGGCTTAATTTGGATTAAGCCGTAGAAGAAGAAGAAGTTTATTTTGATCCATAAACTTTGTAATTAAAGTTAATATTTCCAGTTTTTTTAATTTAAATTTTATAATAAGGAATGCCTGGAATTCGTAAGCAATGTCATTTTATCATCATCATCATCATTGGTGCTATAGCCCTATAAAAGAGCCTCGACCTTCCCAAGTCTATTACGCCAGGCAGTCCTATCCATTGCCAACTGTTGCCAGTTTGCTGCGCCTATTTTTCTACCATCCTTCTCTACATCATCCCTCCATCTGAGTTTTGGCCTACCCCTACTTCTACTTCCCACAGGCTGCGACATACGGATTCTTCTAGGAGGGTTGTTCTGCTGTGATCTTGCTAGATGTCCTGCCCATCTTAGTCTTCTTATTTTTATAACGTGTATTATTTACATTAGGGAAAAAGTGTGCTAATGGAATCGATGCTCCGATTTGATAATTATTATATTGTTTTTTAAAACAAATCGAATCTAATTTATACCAATAACTGTTATAATCTAGACATTATAATACTAACGTAAAAAAACTGATAAACATTAATTTTTTAGGTTGAGTATATGGCGCCCGAGGTTGTCAACCGACAGGGACACACTTTCGCTGCCGATTGGTGGTCATTTGGTGTCTTGATGTATGAAATGCTAACAGGTGTTCTTCCGTTCCAAGGTGCCAATCGCCGAGAAACAATGAATCAAATTCTTAAAGCAAAGCTTGGAATGCCTGCCAATCTTAGTCCCGAAGCTCAAAGTCTCTTGCGGGTTTTGTTCAAGAGAAATCCAGCTAACAGGTAATAGATACATATACAATCTTAAGTGTTTGTATTTATAGCTTACTTAAGGCAGAAGAAATTTTCAATTAATAGAAGGTTGTTAATACCTCTTGTGGGGGCGATGTCATTCGAATTTAAATAAACAAGGTTTGTAACCCGGTCGATAGAGGCGCTGATAATCAAATTATGTAAATTATATGTGAGGTAGCCGGTATATAGAGGTAGATAGAGGGTAGGAGAGGTCTCGGACGTAAAAAAATGTCATGGCTGCGCAATATTCGACAATGGACAGGAATCCACAGCTATGAAATGCTTCTCAATGCTGCTAAAAACAGAATTATTTAATCCAGAATATTTAACATCTCACCTGACAAGACGATGTACGGCGGACGCCTACGCAGAAATGCACGGCACCTTAAGAAGAAGAAGAAGCCGGTATATGGAATTATTTGGGTGTATTAAACTCAATCTCAAACGATTAGATATACAATGTATCAGCAAAAACACGATTAGGATATTATTATGATCGAAGTCGCGACTATGTATAGTTTTCAATGTGATATGTTGTGGTAGAATGGCTCGCGAAATATAATAGTGTTTTTAAGGTAAAAAAGTGTTCCGATTTCCAATTATTTTTATCTTCTTCCCGATGTTGAAAACATCCATTTATATTACCATTGAATAAAAATATCGGTGATTTCATATTTTGACAGATGTCTAGAAAAAACAAATGAATTTGATCAAAATTTTGAATATTACAAAAAAATAAATTGATCTGTTCTAGATTTTTCCATAGCGGTCGGTTAGTTGATAACTTTTTACACAGTGTACAGCCACCATTGAATCTGAAATTACAAATAGTTCATTTTTACACAGTTACCATTTTGCAATGGCCCGAAAAATTCGCGCAAAAATCCAGAAACATGCTGAATAACGCAGAAGAGATATTCTCATATAATTTCATTTAAAATAATTTTACATGATGACGCCCGTTCGACATTTTGAATGATTACGCAACTAAAACAGCAAACTGATTTTGATATATAAAATTATTAATAAATGCTGATCGAACTTTTTACTTTATAGGTTATGTTCTGGACCAGGGGGAATTGAGGATTTAAAAAAGCACGAATTTTTTGCAACCATCGATTTTGAATCACTATTAGCAAGGAAGAAACGGCCACCTTTCCAGCCAGCTGTATGTGGTCCCGAAGATGCGTATTTCGATTCAGAGTTTACTAGCAAAACGCCAAAAGATTCACCTGGTGTGCCTGCGAGTGCAAATGCGCACGAGTTATTTAGAGGGTAAGGTTGATCTTTTTCACCAGTTAGTATGTTTCTATGTCTAGTAATAAATTCATCTGATCGTATGACATATAGATATATCATCACTAGACTTCGGCAAATATGCAAATAAAAATGTAGAAAATATGCGCATAAATATGCACGTGTTTACCCGAAAATATGCAAATATTTTACAAAATATGCATACAAATAAATAAAAAAATCGTAAAATAGTAACAATTTTATTTAAAAAAAAAGTGTACATAACTAAATATTTCCTACTATTCATTAAGATTTACATTTATTTTAAGTAACTACATCATTTTTAAGTATGAATAAACTTATTTAGAATTATGGTAACAATAAATGACCAAGTGGTGTTCAAAATTTTCTAACAAAAACTTGTGGCTTCTGTCTGAGTACATATATTTATATATGGAAAAACTTCGTTCAACATCAACTGATGTAACGGGAGCATTTTTCTTTAAGAACACCAATCAATCAATGAGCAATATACTTTCCTGAGGAATCAGTGGTTTCGTCTACAGATATGTAAAAATAATTATCTGCAATTTCTTCCTTAATATTAATTAACACCGACGAGTATAGCCCGTTCACATTATTTCTTCTTAGAGACCGATCACTTGGAACATTAAGTTTGCAATATTTTTTTAGAAACGAACTAAAATTTACATTTGCTAATTTTGAAAGCGGTATGTTTGCAGACACTAATGCGCGACACAAGTCTTCATTAAAAATTTCTTGCTCATCTAATTTTTTTGAAGTAGATTGGAAACATTTAGCCATTGAAGTTTGATGTTTTCCTCCTATTTTTCCTTTTTTTGCAATGTGTGAAGCAGTTCTCACATGTTGGTCTATCTGAAATTTCTTCTCACATGCTATCTATAAATAAAAATAAAAACCTTTATTTTAACCCAACCTTTAAAATATAAAAATATACAAGGTGTTTTTGGTTAATCAAATAACTGGTTTGGAAAAAAAAAACACTCGCTAAGTGTTTTGAATGCAGTATTAATCCACAAATTAGTTTTTGTTACTAACCATTAGTACATCATATAACTTATTTTAAAATTCAACAAAAGTTTTTTTTTTGTTAATTCAATTACAATAAAAATAATTGTGTTTTAGAATAGCTGACTTCATAAAAAAAAGTAAAGGTGAAAAATTTTTCTAAATACACACCATTGTATTGTACCATGGACAATTTTTTCTCACTAAAGGAAGCTATTTTTCATTTAAAAACAACCTACGAGTACTAAATTTCAAGTAAATACGTTTATTGGTTTTAAAGTTATTGTTGTTATTAACTAAAAGAATTTAATTTTTTTTTAATTTTAACACCCTGTATCTCGAAAAGTAAATAAGTTTGACCCCTCATTAACTATATCGTTTTGTTCAATTTTTCGAGAAGTATCTACAGTCAAACGTTGTAAGTGTCATTTGGAAACACCCTGTATGTATGAAATATTAGATATTTAATAGAAAATATTAGATACTTACAATTTTGCCACAGACTGAACAGTAGATTTTTCCCATATCCATAGACAGCTCTTTATAAGGTTGAATCCAAGTTGAAGCACTGGTTGTTTTAGGCATTATAAAATCACAATCTTCCTTTTTGTTACGCACAACGAGAATTTACGCTTTGAATATCAAAACAAAAATGATTTACAAATCTGAGCATCAAATTAGAAATGTTTAGGTACCTAATTCAATAAACTGGGAGATTTTGGAAAATCCCTAAATTAGGAACAAAACTATTAGCCGTTTACCTGCTGTTAAGATACAATAAATTGTAGATAGATTTGGGGATTAGATCATAAAATGCAAATGAGCGAACCCTTAGCGATTATCCAATAACTGAATGCCTCAGTGACCGAGACTTTCTAAGAATGTTGAGGGCTACTTAAATTGATCTTCTTTGAAATTGTAAATGTTTTGTACCTGTAGAGATTACGTACTTAGATCATTTCTTGATTAAAATGACTACAAAATTTTATACAAGAATTGAAATAAATTGGTATGTTTAAAAATTTTCAAATACATTATAAAAATCTGAACTTTTATGCACTTTATGCAAACTTTTATACAAATATGCCAAAATATGAAATATTTGCATAAAATATGCACAATATGCAAAATATGCAATATGCATATTTGCCGAAGTATAATCATCACCATCTTCCTAGCGTTAGTTTCGCACTATTGTAGAGTCCGCAGCTTTGATCAGTCGTCTCCACCTGGTTCGATCCAGTTCGTGGCCTGGTGTGGCATTGACAGTCTTTTTTTTCAGATTCAGACTCATCGATATTGATTTTATTAATTTCTGTGATGTTTCTTACAACTTTGTTTTTAATAGCTTCAACTGTAGTATTAGTTAAAAAAATGTTTTATATCAGGGATCTAAAATAGTAGATATGGTAAAACAATCCTTGAACTCTTTGAAGACTTTTTTTTTAATTTCCAACGTCATAAAATTGCCCTTTTTTATTGTACAAAGATAATGCTTTAATACATCAATTGTTGGAATCACTTCTGAAATAAGTGAGTCCGTGCTGTTCATCAGTTTGGTGATCTCTTGAAAATGTCCAAGTAATTTAAGGATGGGAAACTCACTGAAAGTGTGCAGATCAAAAGAGGTGTCCGTCATGGGTGTATATTATCCCCACTCCTATTCAATATGTATTCCGAGGAAATATTTAACAAATGTATGGAAAATGCAAACGAGGGCATAAAAATAAACGGCGAGTTAACGAACAATATAAGATATGCCGACGACACGGTGATCCTTGCCAGTACCATAGACGAATTACAACTGGTAATGGAAAGAGTTTATTATATTCAGTTAGTGAGGAATACGGCCTGAGCATCAACTTCAAGAAGACAAAGTGGATGCTGATAAGCAAAAAGCAACAACCTGCTCGACAATTACGGATAAGTAACATACTAATTGACCATGTAGAATCTTATGTGTATCTTGGCACCAACGAAAATGCAAAATGGGAACAGGCCACAGAAATTAAGGCGAGAATAGAACGAGCTAGAGCAGCATTTAGCAATATGAAAAAGCTCTTCATAAGCAAGGATTTGTCTCTTCCCCTAAAACTACGTCTAGTAAATGCTACATTTTTCCGATCGTACTGTATGTTGTGAAGGCGCCATACAGTACGAGGTACAAAGGAGAAAGAAATCGTGAATACAATTAAACAAAGAAAGCTTGAATATCTAGGCCACATATTGAGACACGATAAGTACCGTTTGCTGCAATTGATTGTCCAGGGAAAAATAGACAGTAAGCGAGGGCCAGGCAGTAGAAGACACTCGTGGCTCCAAAATCTGCGGAAGTGGTTCGGGCTCACATCTGTCGAACTATTCAGAAGCGCCGCAAACAAGATCAGAATTGCCATGTTAATAGCCAACGTTCGCAACGGACAGGGCACTTGAAGAAGAAGAAGAATTTAAAGATAGATTGCAACAGGTCGAATTGATTACTTCTTAAATTATTTATACCGCTTCTACCATGTTGATACATATTGAATAAGTTTTTTCTGGTCCATAGTCAATTCTTGTTGTATTTACCTTAACTGAGTGCTAAAGACGAGTGTTTGAAATGAGTTGTTATTCGGCGGACACTATCTATCATATCTAATACGGTTCTTTGAGAATTTATACTGTCTTTTATTATTAATTACAGTTTGTGTAGAAAACACCCCTCACTATTTATTTCTGAATCTTTATTGGCGACGTGCAAGTACTTGGATGTGATACGAGAAACGATCGTGCGCGAGTAGCGGAGAAATCTTGCATTTTTTACTGCACATATTATAGATTTCATAAATTCATATTGTCAATTGGCAAATTGTCATATTTCATATTTGTTTGTTTATTTACACCTTCCGTCACTGAAGAAAATGGGATTTAGTAATTGCTGTGTTATAAATTGTAAAAATACAACAAAAAATTGTCGAAAAGTTATTTGGTTATTTACTTTCTCAAATCCAGTTTTATTATTGCATCCATATTAACAGTAATGCTGTAATTTAATAATATATTTATTTGTATTTACACTACATACAACGTTTACCTTTTAATAACATACCGACATAACCTCTATCTTACTTTTTTTTTCTTATTCTTTTTTGGGGCTACGTCCTTGACAGTTATCCGGTAACCTTGATCTAACATGAAAGCGCAGTAAATTTTGCTGATTTACGACACCAGGTGTCGCTCTTCCGAACTTGCACGGTCATAATAGCCTTTTACCATATTAGCTCCGCTGTCCCTTAACAAAAAATTAATTTTTTGTTTCTCAATGGCTCAGCTGTTTGTTAAGGTTGCAATTTTGTCAGCTAAGTCCGGTACGACTTCCCGTAAATTTATTATTAATAAATGTACTTACCTACTTAAACACAAACACAAAACAACACTGCATTGAATTGAAAATCGTGATTGAAATGAAAAATGAAATGGGCCACACATTCGTATACCTATAGACCTGCAAAATGTCTTCCTTATAGGTAGATCATGATCCGGTCCGGATTTCCGGGGTCCAGTCCGGTTAGTGGTAAGAATTCCGGTTCCGACCGGATTTGCTAGGTACCCGATCCGGTACATCCCTACAAATCAGTATGTTTCACTTCTTCTCATTCTTTCATTTTTATTAACGATGTATTAGTGGAATATTTTTAATTTTTTCATAAACTCCAGGCTTACAATACTTTTCGTTCTCCCATATGTCTTCTTCTTCTTCTTCTAATGCCGTCTCCACTAATGAAGGTTGGCTATAACTATTTATAACTGTTTTTCAGCCAGGGTATTTGTCGTCTATTAGGACCCATTTTTCCTTCGATTTTACCCTTCATAATCAGCTACAACAACTCGTACTTATGATTTCTAAGTATGTGCCTCAAATATACTGTCTTTCGCCTTTTAATGGCGGTCAAAAGTTCTCTGTCTCTTCCCATTCTGTACAACACCATTTCATGATCGGTCCATGGTAT